TTGCCACTTTTTAAATTTTTTTTGATTTTTGCCTGCTTTTTGTATTATTAAACCTATTTTAATTTACAGGGTTTCCCATTCAAAAAAGGAAAAGTCCCAATCAAGAAAGGAAAAGCTTTAATCATAAAAAGTCTGATAAAAAAGGGTCAATCAAAAAAGGAAAAGGGCTAAACTAAAAAGGAAAAGGGCTAAACTAAAAAGGAAAAGGTCCAATCAAAAGGGAAAAGTGTCAATCAAAAAAGGAAAATAGTAATTTTGTAAAATTTCATGTCAATTTTTCTTAAATTTTTATTTTGTTATTCCTTCTTATTTTATTTCTACTACATCTTTTCTCAATTTATACTTCTCATTTTTGGTAATTCTTTTGTCTTTTTAAAAATAATTAGTAAATTTTACGTTATTTTTCTTCACCTTTTTGCTCTATTTTTTAATAATTCTTTACATTTTTTTCATCATACATACAATATTCTTTTTATATTTTTTATCCTTTACATATTATAATCTTTTACATATATTATAACCTTTTCAATCTCTTTAAGTTATTAATCTTTATTTTTTTATCTTTTTCTCAATTTATTTTCTTCTCATTTTTGATAATTTTAAAAATAAGAATTTAAGAATGATTATATTTTATTAATTTACATATTGTTTGGTATTACAGTTCAAACTTATTTAATTTTAAAAAGGTACATTATAACCAAACGATTAATTTAAATTATCGATTGTAACGTTATTGATCAAAATCTCTTCATTTTTGGTTTATCCATGCACATTTAGGTGTTAAGCATTATCCTAAAAAAAATTATGATTTGAAAGAATGCCGAGCTCAAAACCGACCAGTTATTAAATATTCAGTCGACCAAATTTGGTAGTAATATTATTTGAAAAATGTTCTTTTTGGTTTATTTATCTATAAATACGTGTAAAACATTATCTCAAAAAATATTTTGAAAATATCATGATTGACCGAATGCCGTGCTCAAAACCGACCACTTATCAAATTTGATAGTAATATTAATTGAAAAGCTCATTTTTGTTTTATTCGACGAAACGTTAAATCTAACCGAAGGCAATAATACGGTAGGATCGGATGAACTCTTGGTCTACGAGGAACGCTTCCCTGGCCCCGAGGAACGTGCCTTACCTCCCCCGTTTGACACTAATACATTATATAGCAATCATAAATTGATAATTAGAACACATATTTTTGTTAATAATATAGGGGGGTAATAGGCCGCCAAACCCAAATACTTAATTTTATACAGCGTGATAGGCCCCACTATATCATTGTAAAGTCGATAGACTTCCCTTGTCTTATGGTCAGAAACTTATTAGGGATACCCTCCTCGGCTGAGCAAAAATAAAATCCTACGCATATAAATGGCAACACAAGGTTATAAAATTACTTTTTATCAAATTTGAATTAATAACTTTAAAGTTTTAACCAAGGATAGTTTTATTTTTTAATTAAAATTTTTAATTCCAAAAAATTATTAATTATATATATATTTAATTATTAAATTTTAATCAAATATTGTTTTTTTATCTTGATGATGGGTTTAAAAAAATCAATTCATTTCTACTTTTCTTTCAACTTCTTATTTTGCCCAAAACATCTTGTCAAGAACAATAATCAAAAAATAAAGCAAATCTGGAAAAACGACAACTGTTTTTATTTCGTTTTTTTATCTATATATATATATATATCTACTATAAAATAAATATAAATTGATTAATAATATAATTAATCCAAAAAGCAATTTTTATAATATATTAAAAGTGAATGCGCAAAAAAATATTAATCACAAATAAAATGCTATACAAAATAACCAATTTTTATAATATATTAAAAGTGAATGCGCAAAAAATATTAATCACAAATAAAATGCTTTACAAAATAACTCCACTATACCTAAAAAACGATACACATAACACGCCTCCACTAATTGAAAACCAAACTTCGCATTTCACCTCTCACCCGGCATAATTATCGTCCCTTTATGATGTTTTCACGAATTTAAACAGTGGTTAGCTCCTTGAGTCTCCTCCCTTTGTGTGCCGCTATTGTCGATTATATAAATCACGTCTTAGCTCAACCTGGTTCTATTTATCATTTGCACATTCCACTAACCCTTATATGGTTGATTCTCCTTTATTATTATTATCAATCACCCGGCATTGAGTTAGCATACCTCTGTAACTGTCCCCTTCAAATTTTCCTCGGATATGTTGAACACCATACTAAGATGAATATTTTTCCACTATTAATTTTTGATCAATTATATCCTCCTATTTATAATCCCGATCGTAACCTCCCAGGTTCCACGCCCCTTTTTGATTGATCTCGATGCCGTACTCCCTCTTCCATCGATGAATTTCACTCGATTTAATTTGTGTTGCATGTTTTCCATGATCACCCCAGATTCTCACCTTCTTGTACCTCCATATATTCTTGCCCACCACTACAAACTCAGGCGCCTCCATTATCTCCCTTTCCACCTCTTGATGTGGTTTTGGCTTTAATAAATCCAATAATATCCTGGTTCGTCGCCCCAAAAACTTCTCTGCCGGACACTGTTCTTCTCCCTTTCGACTATTGTTGTAATATGTCACAGCTATCCAAATTTTCCCACCTCCATACTTTTATTTTCTTAACCAGTTTTTGACAATCGACACCTTCCTCTCCACCTGACTATTTGAACTGCTACTACAAACCTGGCCCATAGATTTTTTAACGTTATCGCTATCACTTGCGTCGTTAGCCCCCTTACTTCTTCATACTATTTTGAAAGTTAAAGAAGTCAACGTGTATCCGCTCCCACGGCTGAGTAGCCCTTGGCCAAAAACTTTTCTTGTCTTTATGGGGTATCTTGGCCCACTTATTGCACATCAAACAACTCTTACTGATATTTTCGATATCCCTATTCATCCCTACCCACCACACATATTCTCGGCCCCATTGCTACATCCTCCACACCTTGATGCCCCGCATGAATCATTGTCAACACAGCATCCCTTAATTTGAGCTGCACTACACCTCTATTTTCTCGTACCACACATTCATCTACTATGGCTAAATTTTTTACTATATATTTGAAAGTTTTGTCTCCATCTCGCCATGTCTTCCGCCCTTTTATGCATGCTTTACGAGTTAACTGTAGTCTACGCGACAACATTAGCTCTCTATTATCCTTCTTAAATAGATGCACCAGCGGTTTGTGGTCCGTATATACCATGAATCTACTCCCTATTAAGTTCTCTCGACATTTTGTCAATTCGAAAATAACGGCCAAAGCTTCTTGCTCAATAACCGAATATATAGTTTCCGCCGCCCTAAATATTCTTGAGAAAAACAAAACAGGTCTCTCCTCGTCTACAAAATGTAATAACGCTCCTCCTCTACACATTTACTAGACGCATCCACCACTAAAACCACCTCCAAATCGTTATTAATACTAGAATATGTTCTCTCTCAATTCGACATTTTAGTTCCTCAAACGCAAAATGGCGCCGCTATCTGTGCAAAACCTTTCACAAACCGGTGATAATAATTTACCATCCCTAGAAAGGCCTGCACTTCCACTTTATTATTCGGTCTCAACATACTGGTTATTCCTGCCATATTTTTATCCAGCGGTTTCACCTCTCCCAATAATCTTGTGTTCCTAGATACACCACCTCCGATACTCCCAAAAACTCTTCTCGGCACTTGCCCGCAATCCTTTAATCACGATATCTTAAAAACAGAGATAATGTTTTACACGTATTTAGAGATAAATAAACCAAAAATGAACATTATTCAAATAATATTACTACCAAATTTGGTCGATCGAATATTTAATAAGTGGTCGGTTTTGGGCTCGGCATTCGGTCAAATCATAATATTTTTTGGGATAATGCTTAACACGTTAATGTACACGTATAAACCAAAAATGAAGAATTTTCCATGGATAACGCCAGCAATGTAGTATTTCGGTTTCTAATCGGTTATCGGTCAAATCACGATATTTAAAAAATATTTTTTGAGATAATGTTTTACACGTATTTATAGATAAATAAACCAAAAATGAACATTTTTCAATTAATATTACTATCTAATTTGGTAGATCGAATATTTAATAAGTGGTCGGTTTTGAGCTCGGCATTCGGTCAAGTCATAATATTTTCAAAACATTTTTTGGGATAATGCTTAACACTTTAATGTACACGTGTAAACCATGAATAAAGAATTTTCCATGGATAAAGCCAGCAATGCAGCATTTAGTCATTGGGCCGGTTTCAAATCGGTTATCGGCCAAATCGCGATATTTTAAAAATATTTTTTGCGATAATGTTTTACACGTATTTATAGATAAATAAACCAAAAATGAACATTTTTGAATTAATATTAATACCAAATTTGGTCTATCGAATATTTAATAAGTGGTCGGTTTTGAGCTCGGCATTCGCTCAAATAATCATTTTCAAAATATTTTTTAGGATAATGCTTAACACCTAAATGTACACGGATAAACCAAAAATGAAGAGATTTTGATCAATAACGCCAACAATATGTGCCTTACAAATTTTATATTATTTTTCGATTCTAAACCTACTACTCATTAATATCAAACTTTCTTTTTTTTTTAATTTTTATGAAAAGCGTTATCCAATAATTATTTTGGTTTCTTAAGAATATATTTTCATATTTATTCATTTAACGCCCTCTTATGGATATATATTTGTTAAATTTTAAAATTGAAAAATAGAATTTGAGTTGTAATAAGCTAGTAAATATAATTTTTTTCCAATAATATTACGTAAAAATAGAATTAAAAATTATTTGATATTTAATCTCAATTTTTTATTTAATGAAATATTGATATATGTACATTAAATAAACTGTTTCTGAAAATTATTCATAAATAAGATTTTATAATAAAATTTTGATTGATTATAATTATTTGCTCTTTAGCAATTCATTTTAGCAATGCAGTATTTAGTCATACCGCTATTTTTATTTAAATTTCGAAATACAAAATTTGTATATCATAACTATATTTATATAAATAGAAATTCACATCATGTATAAGTGTTGAAATATAATTTATTAATTAAAACGAATTTGGCTAATTAATCTATATATAGATTTCGGACATTTGAATTATCATTCTAGTAGTTTGGGATTCCATTCGCATCCCTAAATATTAACCATATAAAAGAATTTTAAAATTAAGACTTTCAATTTTTTGAATATTCACCAACAAAAAATTATTATCCAGTTAATAGAATTAGAGCCCTACATAGACCTGCAAGAAGTCAGAATAAAATTTAAATAAAATAGGTCGCTTTTTTTCAATATGGACCTATCAAAATTATTTATTTCTATCTTATTTTTTTTGTGCTTATAATATTCTGACTGCCTAAATGTTTTTGCCTTAAAAAATTAGAGTTTAATTAAATAAGATATAAAATATATGCATATTCAAACTCAAGTATCGTTTATATCTAATTAAAATTGATACCTGTATATTATAGATAGTGAATTCCAAATCAAACATAAAAAGGTTGATTTTCAACCCGAAAGCATCTAATTTTTTTAAAATTTTGCATAATGATAGTATACACTAAAACTAGGAAATAAAAAATCCCCAACAATGCTTACCCTCTAAAATGTGTTAAAGCGGGGATAAAATGAACCTATTTATTTTCAAATTTTATCGAGAATTTATTATGTTAGAGCAATCATTGAAATTTTATTATATAATTTAATAATAGTTCTTTAATATAACATAATTAAACATGATGGAAATCTGATTAATATCTAAGACCGAATGTATAAAACAATAAATAGCCATAGGAAAATGTTTTTTTTTTCAATTTTTCTTCTTCTGTAGATAGATATCAAACTGATTTATATTTGTACAGTATCCTAGATTGGGATGAGCTTGGTCCTTAGGTTTATGCCCCTTTATATAGTTAAAATTGATCAAATTTAACATAAATATTTTAATGTATTTTTAGTAGTAATAAAATATCGAAATCTTTTGTTATGTATATTTAGTAGTCATAGAATTCTTTCATTTTTTTTATTTAGTATCCAAAATAATGATCATCATTTATATTCAAATTCATATCAAATTATATAATAATAAAAATAAACATTTTACAAAAAACAACAATTTAATACATATCATTTATCCCCAATCTATCTGGTTTCGATCGTATCCTTTTGGGATATCGATCTTGACTTGTATCTTCTCCTTCCCTCTTCTTTAGATTCATTTCATTGTTATTTTTTATTACACTCTTTGTTTATTTAACTCTTCGGTTTTCTCTTCTACTTCAGTTCTCTCTTCTAATTCGTATTTTTCAATTAATATATTTTAGGTTCTTTTCATTAATTGGTCCGTATGACGTATAATCGTATTACCCGCTATACTTCATAACGTTGTGATCCGAGTATGCCTTTAATAAGGGCGTCTTCCCATTTTTTTCTTTATTATTGTAAAGGCGCGACCAAACTTTTTCATTTATCTGGAATTTTTGATTGTGGTATTCTAACTTCTCCTTTTTGTTACCCCGTTCGAATAATATTTGATCTAACAATCCTTTAGGTTTAAATTTTAGTAGTATTTCAGCGCGACATTGTTCAGTTTCTGTCCCTGGTGCATTTCTGAAATTGTAGAGAAAAATAGCTAGACTGGTTTCTAAATCCCTCTCGTTTCTTTTATTCATACTCTATTTAAAAGTTCGAACTAAACGTTCGGCCATGCCGTTTGTCTGAGGATGGTAAGGACTTCCGTGCACTAATTGAATCCCGTTTTTTTCACAAAAATCATTAAAATTTTTGTTGCTGAATTGGGGTCCGTTATCAGAAACGATTATCCGAAATCCGGATCTTGCAAAAATATTTCTTAATATTTTTATTGTGCTTGTTGTAGTGCTAGTCACGGGAACTAGTCAGCGATTGCTAGCATCTATCACTACCAATCAATCATGATTTTGAAATGGTCCAGCATAATTAATATGTACTCGGTGCCATGCTTTTGGTGGTTTTGCCAATTTTGAATTGCTGTTTTGAGGCATATTGTGTTGCTCCTGTATATCTTGGTTTATATTAGGCCACCACGCGTATTGTAGTGCTCTCATCTTCATTTTTACCATTCCGATATGTCCTTGATGTATCATGTCCAACACGTTGTTTAGGTATTGTTGTGGTATTATCATTTTAGTTCTCCATAATAAACAACCCCTCTCTGTTGTAATTCCCTCTCTCCTTTGCGTCATAGTTTATTGGCCATCCATCTATTGTATATCTGTATACTTTAGAAAGTATATCATCTCGCATTGTTTCTTCAATTTCGCTTGCATTTAAAGGTGTTTCTCCCACCTGTATTTGATCTAGCGTTTCTTCTTTTGATATTGGAGTTCCCTTTATAGATAATCTAGATAGCATGTCAGCATTTGCTATTTGTCAACTACTTTTGACTTCTATTTCATATTGGTAATCTGCTAATAATAAAGCCCATCTTTGTATTCTGGCAGTAGATGTTGTTGGTATATCTTTTTTTGGATGAAATAAACTCATTAATGGTTTGTGGTATGTTTGTAATGTGAACTTTTTTCCATATATAAATTCTTTGAATTTTGTAACCCCAAATATGTGGCAAGTGCTTCTCTTTCTATTTGGCTATAAAAAATTTTCAGCTGCATTTAGCGTTCTTGAGGCGAATGCAATTGGTCTCTCCTTGCCCCCTTCTATATGTGATATTACTCCCCCAATTCCTATGGTTGACGCATCTGTTGCTAATATAATGGGTAATTTTGGATCATAATGCTGTAATATTGGAGTACTACTTATTTATTACTTTATTTTTTTTACGCGTCTTTGCATTCATTAGTCCATCTCCAAACAACTGTTTTTTCTAATAATTTGTATAATGGTTTGGCTTTGGCTGCAAAATTTGAAATAAATTTTGAATAGTATGTTGCTGACCCTAGAAATGACTGTAATTGTTTCAAATTTGTTGGTTCTGGTGCTTTTTTTACTGCCTCAGTATTTTTTTCGGTAGTTGTAATTCCGTTTTTTGAAATATTGTGTTCTAAGTATTCGACATTTTGTTTGAAAAATTTACATTTTCTATTTTTAGCTTGATTCCATTTTCATCTAGACATTTTAGTACCTTTTTAAAATTTGTTTCGTGTTTCTCTCTATTTTTCCCGGTTATTATAATATCATCTAAATAAACAAGCTACTCCTTCAAAACCTTTTAATAAATTCTCAATGGCTCGTTGAAATATTGCTAGAGAAGACGATAAAAAGGTAGTCTTGTATATTTAAATAATCCTCTATGCGTATTGATTACAAGATATTTTTGAAACTCTTCCCCCACTTTAATTTGAAAATAGGCATCTGAGAGATCCAATATTAAAAATTCCTCTCCTTTTCCCAAATTGGCTAATAAATCTTAGATTCTTGGTATTGGATATGAATCAATATTAATATTTTGATTTATACTTTTTAAAATCCCCGCAAATTCTTAATGTTTTATCTTTCTTTTGAATAATTACTATGGGTTATGCATAAAGTGAATGATTAATTTTCTCTATTACGAAATTTAGTTATCCAATTTCTTCCAATGAAATTTTTGGTATATCCTTTTGTAATTATGAGAGGTAGTTCTAATGTTCGTCCTTTATATTGTACTTTTACTACAGTTTGACCTAATAGTGGTATATTGGTTCCTGTATAGCTTTTAAGTTTTAGCATGTAATTTATTAATCCAGGACAATTAACTTTATTTTTCCAATCTATTTCGTTAATTATGCTTACCTCAGCTCCAGTATCTAATTCCATTCTGATATCGCTGTTGCTTATTATTATATCTATCCAAAATTCTGGATTATATTCGTTTGTTTTATTATTAATAAAATTCACTATTTCTTTTCTAAAGACTCGCGCAATGTGTTCAATTTTGTTGCATTTATAACAAGTGGCATTCTCGAAAAGACAATTTTCCCTTCTGTGGTTTCCGGACATGGATTTTTTTGTAGCTCGCATTATAATTATTATATGATTCTGATTAATTATCATTATTAACTTTTTTAATTTTATTTATATTATCATTATGTTCCTCTTTCGATTTTAGTTTCATCATTTTGTATTTTTTGGTTTCTACTGCAGAAGTTATCTTAATAGCTTTATTTATGTCTATATCGTCTTCATATAGTAATCTTTGTAAAATTTTTGGATTTTTTATTCCGAATATAAATTTATTTCTATGCATTATTTAAATATTCCCCAAAATCACAAGTCGTTGCTAATTTTCGTAGATTTTGTATATAGTCTATTAATTTTTAATCATTTTGTTGATTATATTGATAAAAATTATATCTCTCTACTATTATATTAGGTTTGGGATGAAAATGTTTGATTAAAATATTATGTATTTCTAATATTTCTTTGTTTCCCGGACTATCAGGTGCACATAAATTTACCAGTATTTTGTAAGTATCACATCCTATTGTTGTTAATAACAGAGATTTTTCTTGTGATGATGTTAAACTTGGTTATGTGTTTTTAAATTCTTGAAATAAGTTGTACCAATCTTTATAACACAGGTTTGAATCCGTTAGACTTTTTATAGACTGCGCCATTTTTGTAATGTATTTTTAGTAGTAATAAAATATCGAAATCTTTTGTAATGTATTTTTAGTAGTCATAGAATTCTTTCATTTTTTTTATTTAGTATCCAAAATAATGATCATAATTTATTATTCAAATTCCTATCAAATTATATAATAATAAAAATAAACATTTTACAAAAAATAACAAAAACAACAATTTAATACATATCAAATATCATTTAAAATTTAATGACTATTATGTAAAAATTATGTATAAAAATTAATTTGAGATGTGAAGCAATGTGGTTTATTTAACACTTTGGTTAAAATTTCTATAATTACATGTAATACAATAAAAAATATATAATTATATAAAAATTTTAAAATATATCATATTAAATCACCCGAGGAATTTGACTAAATTTTGACTTTTAATTTATATTCTCTGCAAGAAAAGTATAAAAATTTTGTGTTCCAGAAATTCGTTTTGTTGTCAAAAACCTGTTTTCAGGATGATTTTGCACACTTAGATATTCATCATTGCTCACAACTGCATAATTAATCCCTCTGATATTATTTCTTGCATAATTATATAAATCCATTGTTGTCAATAATGATCATATGATGTTGTAAGTTTTCTAGAACTGCTATAAGTTTAGTAACGCTCCCGAAACCGTGGCTGAGACTTTTAACAGTGTGGTTGCAAAGAAATGCCACTGCCTTTATCCCAAAATCATTTTAATGATTGTAAAGGTTAAGGAAGTGTTTTAAATGTTATATTGGGTTCCCATCAGAAAAATAAAGAATTTTGGTTCCTCTGCCAAATCGTTCTTTAAAGAATAAGGTCAAATATTATTTTAGCATAAAATAATCTATAAAAATTGAATTTTTATTAAATGTCATCATTTTTAATCGATAATCACCTTGATGTAGTTTTCGTAACCACTAATGTGTAGGTAGCTCTTGTATTAGACATTATTAAATAAAATTAATGGTTATTAAAATATTCTTAAAAATATTAAATTAATTATTTCATTTTATATAATCTTTTAATACAACACAAAATTTAAATAACTTTTATCGCCAATATAAAAAGTTTTTTTCACAACAATAATTATTTCAAAACTCTTTAAAATCCAATTTAAATGTTGGCGAATTCAGTTATTTTTCAGAAATAAGCGTTTGTAGTGAAAGGATTTCATTGCACCGATAATCAGGCCACTATCCACTTTTATGATTTTACCGCGAGGACGACATAATAAAGCATGTAAAATTTGTGGTTAAATTAGTTTGTTTAAAGCATAACGCATGTGCATTTTATTTATTTCACGCAAAACTGATCTTTTTCTCTACAAAAAAGATTTGGCAGAGTGGCTAAAAATTTTTTTTCTGATGGTGTAGTAACTAAATAATTTAAAAAACTTCATTAATCTCTATAATCATGAAAATAATTTTGGGATAAAGGTTGAGTAACATTTTTTTGCACCCAAACATAAAAGTCCCTGCGACAGCTTAGGGGACGTAGCAGGTCGAACAAGCTTGCTACGTCCATGTGATAATCATATATTGACAACAATTGATTTATTTAACTATGCAAGAAATAATATCCATGGAGTAAATTATATATTTGTGAGCAATAATGAATATCTTACTATGGAATCTTGAATGCAGATTTTCGACAGCAAAGCGAATTTCTGGAACACAAAAGTTCCCTACTTTTATTTCTCTAGGCGAAAATAAAATGAAAGTCAAAATTAATTCAAATTCTTAGGATGATTTAATATATGTAATATAATAAATTTTTGATTGATTACATGTGATTATTTAGCTAAATAAAGTTATAAATATGTTTAGAATTATTTTGCCACGTATAATTTTTTAAATAACTAAGGGCTACATTTAAACATAATTTTAAAATAAAAATTATTACTTAACTATTTATAAATTTAAATATGATGATAATTTATATTAAAATTTAATCAATTTTAGTCATATAAAGGGTCATAATTCCTAGAACCATGTTCATCCCAATCTAGGATTTTGTACAAATACAAAGCAGTCTGATATCTATCTACAGAAAAAAAAATCCGGATTTATACATCCATTTTTAGATATTAATCAGATTTCCATGATATTTATATATGTTATATTAAAGAACCATTATTAAAAGCTATATAATAAAATCAATGATTGCCCAGCATAATTATTTCTCGATAAAATTTGAAAATAAATAAGGTGCATTTTGTCAAAAATGTACCGTTTTTCCCCGCTTTAAACTCCTTTTAGTGAATAAGCAGTGTGGGAGGTTAAATTTTATTCATTTCTTAGTTATAGTGTATACTATCAGTAAAAAATTTTAAAAAATTGGAGGGGGTCGGGTCCAAACCTAGGTTAGATTTTATATGGAATACAACATATATAGAATAAATGCTCAGGATTCAGGAATACTCTCTTTTTTCAACGATAACTTTCTGATCAAATTTATTTAATTATACAACTTTTTAAAATTTTATACACTCTTTTTTCATTATATTACATATAGTTTTTATTTTAAATAAAATAATACTGCTTTTAAAAAAGATAAAATTAATTCTTTAGACCAGGCTAACATATTTATGAATCTTGATGAGCAGGGACTTCTACCACGGGGGAGGGGGGGGGGTAAAACGTAAGATCGTTTTATTTGTTTGGTGGAAGGAGGAAGGGTCTAGATTAGGCGTAGAAATCCTGATTAGTGAGCCACTCATTTTTTAAAAAATTTAAGCAGATTTGGAAATTCGTAAAAAGAATTAGAAAATTTTCTCGGATCGGGCGATCCACTTAGAAAGGTCAAACGCAGGGCTCTAGCTTGAATATCAATCGAAATGTTGTATAAGATAAATTTTTAAATACGCATAAGTAAAGTATATTAAAACCTCAATATTATCAATTATTCTTTTAAAATTAGTTAATTTTTCAATAAATCAAAACTAATAATTTCTATTCAAAAGTAAAAATTTAAAAATCAAAATCAGGCCTATAAATGAGTAATCAAAATAAAATGATTTAATAAAAATTACATAAATTTTGGTCTTTTTAGATTCAAGGTTTTGATTATCCGTGACAATTTTTTTAACGATGTCTATTTTATCATTTTTTAATAGACTAATATAATTATTATTGTTTTCGCTTTCAAAAGACTTTCTATTGCTAGTCATTCTTTGCCTTTTTGTATTTGAGGTAGGTATTGGAGGCACCACGAAATCATGATCTTTTTCCTTACAGGGCGTTTTAGCACTTGAGTCTAAACTCGGGCTAATAATTAAGAAAATTAAAAATTAAGTTATATATTAAATCAAAATTACGAAAAATTATATAAAAAATCATGAAAAATTTTCTTTTATATCTAATGCCTTCAAAAGAAAGATTACAATTGAAATCCTTGGAAAATCAGAAATTATTTGTAAATTTAAAAAATTTAAGCCAATGTTTGTAATTCTGACCCGAGACTGGTTGGAAAATTCGATGAGATTTTTTAAAAAATAGAGATAATCATCAAATTAACCTCTTATGTAATAACATTTCACCATCACTAATAATTTCTTTTGTCACGACATGATCATCAGCAGTAGATAAGGTTGTTGGCGTGTTAGCATAAAACATTTTTTTAACATTAGTGGATGGTTCAGCTATCTTACGCATCTTGTCGTATATTTCTTTGGACTTAAGTAAACTGTTCTTTTTTTGGGTTAGTGAAAGCAATATTGATTGGCTGGGGTTAAATTTAGGCCCTATTTTCGAAATCTTTTTAATAGTATTCATATAAAGGTCTAGGGGGTCCGATTCTCCTGAGTTTTTAATTAGATCGTTATTATTTTTTTCAAATACATCAACATGTAAAATATTATCCTCTAATCTCGTAGGGTTCTCAATGTTTTCTATCAAGATATCTAATTCCTAATCAAATATTTAAAAAAAAGAAGTATATTTAAACTATTTTCATATTCTATTTATTAACTAAACATATAACACTAAAATATTTTAATGAGATTTCATTATATGATACTTATATAGCATAATATCAGAGATCGGTCGATACTTACAATTTCAACCACTACCCAAATAATCACTAATCCTTATTAAAAAATTGAGATAATACAATCTGTTAACCGTAACTACCAAAATCAGGGTAGAATACCCAAAAATAGGGCTGTACCGATATTAAATATCGGATCAGTCGTTTTCCAAAAATATCGGATCGGGCCGAAACCTGTAAAAAACGATCTGATCTTTTTACTTTTCTCTTTTTTGTTATTTTATGTATATTTATTTTATATTAATAATATTTTCTATATATTTTTTTTAAACAATGCAAATGCACAACACCCTTAAATTTTATTTATTTTTTTAAATAGATTTATAGTATTTTAAAAGTTTTTTTCTAAAAATAGAAAGAAACCAATGACATCATATAAAATACCTAGACTGACGATTCATTCATTAAAAGTGTACATCAATGCAAATCAGCTGGAGATGCCATCTTGATTACACTAATCATTATTTAAATTTTAAACGAGCTATAAAATGATATTGCTGTTGTATATTTATCGCATAATTTATTCCTATATCTGATGCAAACTTTATTAAAGAATTACCGGATCATCGAGATAATAAGGAAGCAAGTTATTGATTTAATAGTAGTTTTTAACATGAGAAAAATTGCTATATGTGTTACCAAAATGGCGGGTCCAGCTGATTTGCTTTTAACGACGCTTAAAAATGCATTTTAATGAATGAATCGTCAGTCTAGGTATTATATATGTCATTGAAAGAAACACCCAAAGTTTTATTTATTTTAAATCTTTTTAAAAAATAACGCTAATTAATAAAAGAATTTTTTTAAATATGGTATCTGAATTATGGAAATATTTTACAAAAGACAAAGATAATTTTGCAAAATGCGTTATCTGCGGAATTCTAATTTCACGGGGAGGAATAATGAAAAATTCATTTAATACTACCAATATCTATAAACTTTTTTAAAATTATTGTAGAAATAAAATAAAATGCATAATTCGATTTTTTGCATAAAAAATATTGATTTCTTAATTACATTTGGTTCAAAGGGGGATGGTGAAAAATCAATATAAATATCGGATCGGGTTTAAGTCCATATCGAATCGTATCGCCCTACTACTAGCTATGGCTATAAAGAAAGATAGCACAAACAATTTATAAAATGAATAATTTTAAGTGAGAACTTATAGCCATATTCAGATAAGTCAAATTGAAATATAATTTTATAATTGGAATAAAATTAAAATTTTTTAAAAAAAGTAATTGGTATTAAAATTCAAATACCTAACAGATTAGAGCAAAAAATATATATCAAATAAAAAACTTCCAGTTATCAGTAAAAGGCTATAACGAATTTTATGAACCACTAATATTATTTCGCACAGAATAAAAACTGAAACGCTCAGAATTTTTTTTAGTTGCTCAGGATGAAAAAAACTATTTTTAGGGATATACTGATACTACTTTTTGGAGACTAATCGATATTGCTGATATTAAATTGACATCGGCCGATTACCAATTCAATATCATATCTGACTTTGTTTCTGTAAACACACTATTCAATTTAATTTTTATACATGTACTCATCTCATACTTTTTAATAGTATAACATAATTTAATTATATCATTAAGTCATTAAATATAACAATGATCAGTTAGAGTTTATTTTCATGAATCTGAAATAAGTAATAAACAAATATATTATGAAATTTAAAATAAATTCTTTTAAAATTAAGACGCCATTTTATCGGATGGAGGTAAAGCATCGGCCTGATCCCATAAAAAAATATCGATACATCCCTAATATTTTTCTTTAAATCAAATACGATTTTGCAAAGTAAAAATTTTGATATGCTCTTGTTAAGTTTTATTAAACACTTTCTAGTCTAGGCCATGAGTATCAAATGAAAACTAATAAAAAATATAATATGTCAACATGAACATCAACTAAAAGCCAATTAATACAAAAATCAATTGATGGGTGTTCGGGGGGGGGGGGTAAAGATGTATAGTAAAATCTCAACGGGCGCACCAAATGAAATAGAATAAAAAGATCAATTGATTACATTAATACTCATCTTCCTAATGTGGGTTGGAGGGGGGGGGGGTAGTTAAAATTTTTTAACATCATGTCAACATGGGTAACAAATGAAGGCTAATAAGAAGATTAATTTATTCTCATCACTTTACGTAATTTCTCAGAAAAAATACTAAATCGCTCAGAAATTTTGGCGATCATTTTCAAGTAAAGTTAATCATATGAATTGTTGAGTTTTATAATCTATGCTCTTGTTGAGTTTTATTAAACACTTTCCAGTCTAGGCCATGAGTATCAAATGAAAACTAATAAAAAATATAATATGTCAACATGAACATCAACTAAAAGCCAATTAATACAAAAATCAATTGATGGGTGTTCGGGGGGGGGGGGGTAAAGATGTATAGTAAAATCTCAACGGGCGCACCAAATGAAATAGAATAAAAAGATCAATTGATTACATTAATACTCATCTTCCTAATGTGGGTTGGAGGGGGGGGGGGTAGTTAAAATTTTTTAACATCATGTCAACATGGGTAACAAATGAAGGCTAATAAGAAGATTAATTTATTCTCATCACTTTACGTTTTCGAAGTGGGTAGGAAGGTGGGGGGGGGGGGTTGAGAATGTAATACTATAATATCTCAAAATAGGCATCAAATAAAGACTAAAAAAGATCAATTGATTATATTGATACTTATCTATTCAAAGTGGGTATAGCATAGTTGGGAGTTAAAAATATCCTAACAGAATATATTGATATGTGTAGCAAATTAAAGCTTATAAGGAGATAATTGATACTCATTATTCTACATCCCTAGAGTGAGTGTTTATAGGAAATTATAACTTTATTTTAAAGGGTGGGATGGAGACGTTAAAAATTATATACTATTTCAATATAGGTATCTTATAAAACCTAATTTAAAGATCTACTAATAATATTTAATCTTTACTAACTATCTTTAGGAACATTTCAAACATGAGTATCATGTGAAAAATTCCTGAATGTTATTTACCTCATTTTTATTTCGCCAAAACCATATTTACAAATCAAAAGAATCACTTTTTAAAATAAGACCTCGTAACCACTAATTCATATTTAGAGGAACAGGCTAGGACTAAGTACCCCCACCAGGGGTATGACGTAATTTCATCATTGAAATTAGAAGGCACATAAGTATATAGGAACCGGAGTTAAAATCAATAGTACTAAGAAAGAAATATTTCTGCGCAATTTAATAACTAGTTTGGAGGGTTTCATATATTTTTCTTAGTGATTCATTTTTTAATTGGAGCGTTTCGTGTTATCCCTGAGCAATTAATATTTTTTTCTGGGAAATTGTTTTTTATCTGAGCATCAAGAATAAATTCTGAGTATTCAGTATTTTTTCTGAGCGTTTAAAGATTATTTTTTTCTGAGAATTTCAGTTTTAATTCTGAGCGATTAATATAGCCTTTAAGAACTCAGTGACAATTTATGTTTAAATAAAGTGTATATTTGGAGCAAGTTTGCAAAAAAATTTCCAGCTGATTAAATAACAATTCTGATAAAAAATAATAATTTTAGAGCCCCCTTTAAATTGGCAAAGAAATATAGTTTCTACCTGCAAAAATATCCCCTTACCTCAATGGGACCTACTATTTAAAAGTTTGGTTAGACCTGACTACTTTAATTTTAAAAAATTAATTGTGAGGTTACTTTTAATTCCTTCTCAATCTCATTAATTGTCGTTTTAAGGGATTCATAGGTATGAGAACCCTCACCTTTACTGCCCTGATTTGTACCGATACTATTTTCAACTAAAACGCCGTAATTTGCTACATCTTCAGTGCTAAAATGACCTAGTCTCTTCCTTCTCATTTCTCTTTTGCATTGTAATATACCTGTTCTGTCGCTAAATTCGTCTTCATCACTCTCATAAAAATCATCGCTAATGAGTTTTCGTACATTTAATTCGCGTTCGGTTATTTTTCCTAAGAAAATTTTTTTTTGTAACAGAAAATTTTAAGAATAAATATATTCTAAAAAGAAAACAAACGTTTATTTTTACTTCCAAAGTTGGTACTGGTTTACTTTCCATAAGCAATAATGCATTAAGATGCAATTGTCTTGAGTTTTATGATGGCAATTAAATCGCTATACATGATTGCTTATAAAGAGTAAATCAGCCTTCAAATGTAGCCTTAAGTAAGAATATAATACTTAAAAAATTTACTTGATTTGTTGGGATTTTTTAATATGCCATGCATATTCAACAATCTACATGCAGCTAAACAACACATATTAATAGCATCCTTCTTTGAAAAACTTGTGAATTCTATTAACCTTTCTGATTCATTAGTTGCTAACATTAGATCATCAAAATTAAGTATTAAATTGCATTGAAATTTTTTAATATCTGTATTTATTTCCTTAATTTCGAAATCAAATTCTTCACCTAAATTCATTTTTATAATATTATTAATATTAAAACACAAAAAAACCTTGGTTTTCAAAAAAAATTTTTAGATATTTTTTGGGGTCATTAACAAAATGGCTTTCATTTATTAAGTCCGAATCAATATCTTTTTTAGTATGGGCATATATTTCATCCTCTATATTCTCTTTAATTCCCCAACTAATATCGTCTTCACTCATGTCATTAGTTAGTTTTGCAACTTCGATATTCTATATATATATAATATATGAAATGGGATAAAAGATATACATATTAAATGGTTGAAAAATTATGGTGATGACATTAAATAAATTTTTTTGACCAACCAATGTAAAGAGATTTTAAAATCTCTTTATTTTTAAAATTTATTAAAATTAATATTTAGAGAGAAAGATATTAGAAATAATTTTTAGTTGCATGATATCATTTTCGTAACTATAGGCCAGTTTCGACCTTGTTATCCTAAAATTGGAGGAAAGGGTTATTTCCTTAAAAAAGAGAGAGGGAGACGCAAAAAAATAGTCAATTTATTTTGTAGAGGTTTAAAGTAAAAAAAAATGTGAATTTAGCCAGAGAAAGAAACCGAACAACTCATTATAGTTCTGATAGAACCATTAAAGTTTTTGCTAAATTCCTAAATCGAAACTTATAATTTTTCCTGTTTTCTAATGCTGGCATGATTATGAAATGAATCAAACTAGGGCTGTGCTGATATTAAATATCGGATCGGTGCCGATATTTAGCGTTTTCCGAAAATATCGGATCGGGCCGATACCCTTAAAAACCAAACCGATCTTTTTTTGTTATTTTATTTTACATTATTTTAATTTTTTCTAAATAATTTTTTTAAATTTTAATTCTTTTTTAAAACAGATTTATAGTATTTTAAAAGTTTTTTTTGTAAAAATAGAAAGGAACACCCAAAGTTTAATTTATTTTAAATCTTTTTAAATAACGCCAATTTTTTTATTTATACTTTAAATAAAATAATTTTTTTAAATATGGTATCTGAATTAGGAAATATTTTACAAAAGACAAAGATAATTTTGCAAAATGCGTTATCTGCGGAATCATCTGAGTCTGCCTTCAGTACGGCAGGAATAGATAGTCCATATCGTAGAAGCTTATTCCCGGAAAATCTGGAGGCTCTCATATTTATTTAAAAAATCTAATATATTATAATTTTATATATTAAATATTACAATTTTATAATTCATACCAGAGTTGTTAAAAGATACTTTTTAAATGGATCTAGATACAGATACAACGTCTAAAATAATATCTAGATACAGATTATTTAATCAAAAATCTATCTAGATACAGATACCACATTTTTATATCTAGATACAGGATCTAGATACTTGTATCTAGATCCTTTAACAACTCTGATTCATATCAACATAAAAGGGATATATTATTAAATATATATTTTTTTATTATAGTCTTAATTGTAGAAATAAAAAAATTAAATTAAATTCATAATTCGATTTTTTGCATAAAAAATATTGATTTCTTAATTACATTTGATTCAAACGGGGGTGATTAAAAATCAGTATAAATATCGGATCGGGTTTGAAGCAATATAGGAAAATATCGGATCGGATCGGTGAAAAATATGTGGATCGGCACAGCCCTAATTCAAACCGATTATTATTTTATTTTAAATAATGAATTAAATCGATTCTCTTAACCTATCATTTAAACAGACCGTCTATCTCCGAACCTCCAACTGCTCTGACGTTCACAAATTTAATTCAAGACATATCGATACTATTGCCCCGTTTAAAAATCTATATCGCTCTCCAGAACAGTATTACTTAGACAAAGCCACTTTTCCACAAAGCTTCTGCAAGAGACCGGCACCGTAAATTATATCTCTTCCGAAAGATGCACGCATGCTAGCATCGAAAACCTATTCCGAATGTATAAACTCCTTTTTGAAAAATGTATTCGGTCAATTGACCGATATTTGACCGGTCAAATTCAAATAAATGTTTTTTAAGACAATTAACTTTATTTTAACAGGGATGTGAACCCTCCTTCTAAAAAAAATGGGTTTGGGTTCAGTGAAAAATCTCAACTCGGTTCGAGTTCAGGGTTCGGAGACCAATAATGATTTATTAAAATTGGTTAAAATAACAGAAGCATCATTTTTTTAAATTTATTAGTATTGCCATAAAAATAATTTATCATCATAATTATAATATATTTGTGATTTTGTACTTTCTTTATCTTACTATCAATTTAATAATCCACAAACAACAATATCCTAAAATAGATCTTATTATCATCATTTAAAAAAAAAACTTTTAAAATCTGCTTTGCTGGATAAAATGTACAAATTTTTACGAAAAAAATGGCCTATTCTTAAATATAACAAAAATGATTCCACGAAAAAATGATCAAAAAATGTTTTTTTTAAATTAATATTTTTTTTTGAATAAAAAAACAATTGTTTTAAATAGGAACTCTTTTTAAATAGGAAATCTTTTATAAATGAAAATCGTAAATTACATGTTTTTTATATATTATTTCTAACATATAATTTAAAATAAATAAAATGAAATTTAAAATAAAAAAAAATAATTTTTTTTAAAAAAGGAAGCTTGGACCCACCCTAAATTTAAAAAAAAAGGGTTAGAGTTTGGGTTCAGCGAAATATAGAGGGTTCAGGGTTTGGGCTCTCATGCCTGTTTTATATATAATAGTAAAAAATGAATATATGTAATAATAAATTATATTTTTTAAAAAGTTATAATTAATATTTCGCTCTCCATGGCAGAATCTTGTTCTGATTTATATTCAACATTACCCTTTCTTAATATTTTTAATCAATCTTAGGTTATGATATACTCTTACCAATTTATTTCGGAAAAAGAATTATAACTAATAATTACTAGTTATTAGACCCTTTAATATTCAAGGTGGGCAAAGCCCATTCCGACAACTTGAAGCCGAAATCTGATTGTTTTTATGAAAGTTACTGCTTTCCACAATATTTTGACTATTAAATATAATGCCGCTTATGCTTCTTAAATTTATGATATCATTAAAAATATTTTGATTATCATCACCTTGTAAAATGCCTAATTAATGATTATATCATATGCTTCATCATAAAATACCCTCCTTATATTGAGGATCCAATAAATAATCAGCAATGTGCGCACATGTATTTGGATTGTTTTTTCTTTTTCAAACATATCTTTGATTTATTTTTTCAGATAGAGAATTTATAAAATCATGGCAAAATTGAATCATGTGTTTTCCAAATTAAGCATATCGTTTTTTACGCGGGCTAGAGTACATTTATCCCTCTGAACTTACAACAATAAGATAGCAAAATGTTAAAGAATAGTCTAAAATTCTTAATTTTTCGTCCTAAATATTTTTTCATTTAATATATTATTGGTAATTTCTTTCGGACAAATATCCAACTTCTTTAACGGTTGCTTTCAGAGCTTTCTTACATATTCGTATTTTCTCCTTGCATTTTATTGACAATGCCCATCTTGTTTGGATATTTGTACACAATGTAATAAAAATTGAAATTAATAATTTTCTCAAAACATGCTAAAAAATTATTATATGTATTTAAATAAGAAAATTGTTTTATTTTTATTTAATGAAGTTCAAATATTTTAGTATGAAAATCTTATTTTAATAAAAAGTTATAATTAAACCGATGCCTTGTTGATACAAATATATTTTTAAATAAATTGTAACCTAATTAGATTGATAAACATGATTTAAATACATATTAGTTAATTAAATCAATATATTTATTAACCACTAACATTTAGGTCAATTGACCGACTTAACCCTGGTTTTAAGTGAATAAAAAATTATTTTTATTTATAAATTTCATATTAATTTTTAATATAAAATTTATTTATTAATAAAATGTATAAATTTATAAAACTTTAAATTGTGTTCATATTAAAATATAAAACCCTTGATAAAAATTTAAAAATAATAGCGAAATTTCAAATAATCACACTAAAAATAAATAAATTTTGAAGTATATTAACTAGTTATTTTATATCTATGTAAATAATATTTAATGATTTTTACTTTATGTATCTATTATGATAATCATATTTAATAAGCCTATGAATTACAATAATCTAAAATAAATTTAGTTATATTATATAAAAGAATAAATATTACTATCAAATTTCCCTTTAAATTAGAACTTAAAGATTTTGAAACTGATATTATACTTTTTAGACACATTTTTGGCAAGAATAGAATTAGTATATTGAATATATGATTACTGTTAAGTATTTATTATATTTGGGCCATAGTAATGTTAATTCATTTGATTTTAAATTTTAAGAATCAGATGATGCTTACGCTAATCTATAAAATGTTAATAATAATACAAATGAATAAACTATATATGATATGACAAAAATAGTGGTTGGTTAAAAAAATTCAAATGTAATAAAGGAAGCAGCTGATTAAAAAATAGCATTTTCCTTAAAAAATTCGGATATATTTTTTTATTTTCAAATGAATAAAAATAAGAAGTTTTCCAAAATTGAACGAACGTAAAAAACGAACGCGTTCGTCAAAAAAGGAAAGCATTCAAGTTCAAAGTTCGTCATAAATAAAAGGAACGCCGTTGATCATTTTTCACGAACTTTGTTCGCGTTCGTTTACAATATTATAAAACAGTAATATTTTTGAAAAGTATTCCAGTCAGCATCTTGGTTTCTTGGTGGGGGAGTGGGGATAGGATTAATACCTCTTCCTATTGCGTACAATTTTATATTATCTATAAATGAAACAAAGGAGGAAGAAATTAATTATTATCTTATTTCTATTCCCTTTCGCCTATCGGGGATCCCCATAAGTGAATTTACATCTCACCTAAAAGCTAAACAAAGAGAAAAAAATTTATTATTATCATATTTATATATTGCTATTCTTTATGGTCTCTCCCTTCTCATGAACTACCATAAAAAATAGATGAAAATAAAAAGACCTCATCTCAAAATGAAAGAAAGAGAAAAATAAACCTAGTACATTTCTATTTTGCTATGCTAAAATCTAGAGCAATCTATATATATTTTGGGGCATGACTAAAATACGCGTCCCCGGTCAAATGGGTTTAATTTATATAATATTAATAACTACGCGTCCCCGGTCAAGATACATTTTTTTAAAAAAATAAAAGCAGATTCATATTTAGCTCATTAAATGGATATAGAAAATGTTTTTTTTT